AAAATCGAAACACTCTTACTTTGGATAGCTCGACTTTTAATACTACAACGGTGACGAAATGTGAGGAGTTATTTTGGCCTTTTATGTCACCTATATATATGTTTTCTCTATTTTCGATTTTTTCTTTCAGAATCGCCATGAAAGTCATGGATGGCCCAAGCTTTATATAGTGTTCCAAAGGAGGATCTACTTTTGTTTAGGCGTGCCACAAACTTATACGCATATTTTAAAACACGCTGTCGTATAGTCATTGTTAATTCTTTCTTTATTGAATATCGTCCACGTTTAATTCAAAATCGTTCTGCGTGTATCGTCTGACACGCGTGCAATAAGTTACCGATTCCTTGCTTTGAGTTCCCATAATACCCATACCTCTCTTGTCAGCTCCATAATCCACAACACGCAGAAGTGCATTGGTTGTGTCAAATCATGGATGACTCTCAGCAAGTTGAAGCTAAACGACGACAAAACAAAAGCACTCGTCATTCACAATCATGGGCCATCCTCTAACTCAGCTTTCCCCATCTCATTTCAAGTAGGTAGCTCCGATATAGAGTTCGCATCCACTTCTAGGAATCGTGGTTACATTCTTTCTTACAACATGTCCCTCAATAATCATATTCCTCGCATTTGTCGCTCTACGTACACCGCTATACGTGAGATCAGCTCCATCCGCCATTATCTCACAGTTGGTGCAACAAAAAACCCTAGTATGTGCTCTTGTTCTCTCTCATCTTGACTATTATAACACTCTCCTGTCAGGTTCACCAAAACATTTCATAGAAAAACTGCATCAAGCTCAAAACTCAGCTGCTAGGCTAGTTCTCAAGGCAAAGAAACGTGATCTCGTCTCTCTACTACTTCACTCACTTCATAAAGGCACGCACTGAGTAGAAAAAAGTAGGAGTAGCACACGCTGTATGTTCTCTGTCACAAGTTTTTCTCTGGTTCCTGAACTTCCTATCTTACTGAACTTCTTAATGTCTATTCACACTTTCGAAAGCTTCGTTCCTCCTCAGACACGCGTATACTTCTTTTTCTCAGAACACGAACTAAAACATATGGTGAACGATCTTTCTCTTTATGTGCCCCAAAACATTTGAATTCTCTCCCATTATTACGCAATATTACGACGATCACAACCATTTAAAACTGCCCTCAAGACCCATCTCTTCAAACTGAACTATACCGAATCATTCTCACCCCCCTCTGACTGATAAACAACGCTCGATTCTGCTGGGTGCCGTCCATTGCTACACAGAGATAGATAGTACCTAGATAGGTGAGGTCAAGCTATTCACAAATTGTTGTTTTTAAATATATACGTTTCTGTCATTGCTAATTTTTATGTGAGGCGCAGTGAGCCTAGCCCTAGGCTGGGGTACTAAAGTGAGCCTCGCCCTAGGCTGGGGTAGGGCGCTATAGAAAACAACCTAATAATGATAATAGTATTAATATTGTTTTATATATCAATGTGACCCTTGCTTTAGACTAAATTCTTTTAATTCTAAAATTGTCTGGATCAATAAAAGAACCTTATCCTATGTTATTTTATTATAATTCCGCCACATTGTTGGCCAATTTTGATTTTATTGATTTGCTCTTCTCCGTCTGTTCAATGTCTTCAGCAAAAAGTGTATTTCTCTGATCAAATCTCAACCATGTTTTGAATGAATGTGTTTTTTTTTTTTTAAACTTGAAACCATGCATGCATTGACCTTTTTTTTTGTTCTCTCAACTACAGCTGAACAACACCATAAACATCACATGACGCGCTGTGAAACTCGGGCTTGCACATTGAATTGAAACCTTTCATCGCCTGGATATTCCTTCTTAGCGCCGCTTTAATTGCGTTACGTTTCTGAAAACGTTTCTAAAAACCTCTCGTATTCAGTAATGCTGTCCACGGCAAGACATTGGAAGAGTTCCTTTTTGTCTTTTACAGCCAAGATATCAAGACGTCTCAAACAAATGTAGACCAAACAACAAGGAAGTTCACACGGTTAACACGCGTTGTTTTTTTTGGACTCCATTGTTTTTAAACCCTGATCGCTTTATTTATTTACATTTTGTTATGTTTATTTCTTACGTCATCGTTATTTGTTTCCTTGCCCAGGACACGTGATTACATTCGCCGTGGACTCTCTGCGACCAGCACTTCCTTTAAGGTCGGCTTGGACATCTATTATCGGGGGGGAAAATCTAAATACCATGTTTATGATTAGTTCATTACTATACCGTTGTCATAATGCTGGTCTATGGTTCAACTGTCTTGGGAAGAAAACTAAGTATATCTGCAACAAGTTTTGATGTGGACCAATCGCATGCAGTGTTGGAAAACATTGACGCCATTAAGACTCACCTTAAAATTTGTTTCAGTTTGCACAAAGTAACCCAACATTTTTTTTAAAAAAACTTTCCATCGGTTGACTTTTGACCCAAGTCTCGGGCCTCCCTGGCGCCCGCATTTATTACGCCTCCTTCTTGCCTGCAGTCTCGTTGCGCTGCCATCCACGACCACGAAATGCGTAAGGAACACTACACTCGGGCTCAGATGGCCTTCACCGGTATAAACCGATCCCAACCACTTTTCACAAGAGATCTGCGACCCGGCCACCGTGGCTGACGACACGACACAGGAAAAAGCCAGCAATGTGTATGTGTTTGAGCTGCGCCTGGTCCCTTAACCGAAATTCTCGTCCTAACAAAATGAGGGCAGCTAGCACTGCCGAAATGTTACCAAATATGGCTCTTGAACGGCGACTCGAGAAGAGTCGCGACTACGGGCCTGGGCCTTACCTGCGTTACCGTAAATATGGCGCCCGGACCTGAGGCCTACCCGTAAACTAATTCCTGCAGCCGTAGGACAGCATGGCTCGGATAGCCCCTCCCCCCCCCCAACGCCAACACACCAACGTTATCTTGGCTACCTTTTGTACAAAACCCTCCAGACAAAGCAATTCAGGGCATGCACAAAACATATAGCCCTTACCTTGTCGTTAGCTCTCATAAGCCCAATGACCTCGTCTACCAATAAAAAGTGACAATATAAATATGGTCAAATATAATATTAAGCAGCGCATTAACTTCTTCAGTTATGAAAAGTTTAAGTTATATGAGTTTTTTTTAATCAAAACTTCTAGGATAATTTGATTTTGATTATGTAAACTTAAAAAAAAATACGTGCAAAAATAAAATAAAGGCTACATGAGATGAGCTTAGATGGCAATTTGTTTCATTCAATTGTTTTTTGATGTTGGAATTGTACATTCTCCTTTTGTTGTTGGAATTGTACATTCTCCTTTTGTTGTTGGAATTGTACATTCTCCTTTTGTTGTTGGAATTGTACATTCTCCTTTTGTTGTTGGAATTGTACATTCTCCTTTTGTTGTTGGCATTGTACATTCTCCTTTTGTTGTTGGAATTGTACATTCTCCTTTTGTTGTTGGAATTGTACATTCTCCTTTTGTTGTTGGAATTGTACATTCTCCTTTTGTTGTTGGAATTGTACATTCTCCTTTTGTTGTTGGCATTGTACATTCTCCTTTTGTTGTTGGAATTGTACATTCTCCTTTTGTTGTTGGAATTGTACATTCTCCTTTTGTTGTTGGAATTGTACATTCTCCTTTTGTTGTTGGAATTGTACATTCTCCTTTTGTTGTTGGCATTGTACATTCTCCTTTTGTTGTTGGAATTGTACATTCTCCTTTTGTTGTTGGAATTGTACATTCTCCTTTTGTTGTTGGAATTGTACATTCTCCTTTTGTTGTTGGAATTGTACATTCTCCTTTTGTTGTTGGAATTGTACATTCTCCAGCGTGATTTGTTTTTTAAAATGAGTTCTCTTCCGGTGCCTTTTTTCAAAATATTTATTAAAAAAATAAAACCAAGACTTTCTCCGTTTATTATTTAGGTTAAAACGAAATGTCCTGACTAATCTTTACAAGTTGTCAATTACGAATTATATCAAATGAAAACAATTGAAAGAAAAAAAACAACAACTTAGTTTCAAAGGTTTAGTTCTCTTAAAACAATCTAGAAACGATGTGGTTTTTTTTCAACTCTAAATTAATAACCGTAAGACAAATACAATTTTCGAAGAGCCTAGATAAACAAGGGAAGACATCAAATAAAAGTCAGATGTAGAGGGGAAATTGAAACGTTGCCTGCCCTTCCCATGTCAATTTGAAAACTATTTAGGTTTTTACCCAGTTTCACCTATAATTAATGATAACCCAAAGATAATTTTTTTTTTTTTAATTCATGTTTGGAGTACAGAAAAAATACATTTCCATGACTTACGGTACGGAACAGGTAAGAATATCGGAGACGTGCAACACACCTGGACGACAATGAATGTTACTTGAAAGCAGCTAGCTAAATTTACACATTCCATTCTCTCTCTCTCTCTCTCGCTTTCTCTTTCAATCTCTTTCTCTCTCTCTCTCTCTCTCTATGTCTCTCCTCTTTTTCTCTCTCTATTTCTCTCTCTCTATTTCTCTCTCTCTCTCGCTTACCCTCTCCCCCCCCCCTCTCTCTCTCTATAAGAAAAATTTTACTCATTGATTCAAGTTCTGAGTGTTTCGCGCAGACAATGGTATATGGTTTTTGTCACAGATGACTAGCAGGAGTGACTGAGTTCTGCTTTTTGTTGTTGTGTTTCTTTTGTTGTGAGATGACGTAGAATCTAATTAAACCCGATACATTTTAACGCTCTTATCTTTAAGTATTTTTTTTTCTACCGGTATTCAACCACCCACCCCCACCCCAACAGCCCCACTCATCCCACATTCCAAAATCGTGTCATGCCAACTAGACACTCTATCCCGTGCTGAACTGCTTCTGGTCGTGGTTGGTAGAGTAGGGTGAACACAAGGTGAAAGCGGCGCTCAAGCTGCGTCGCTCTGTTCCTCTTTGCCTTCGGACACTTCAGAGGCTGTTTCTTGCGCCTGCTGCGACTCCTCGTCCGTTTCTTTGACGCCGGCGTCACTGGCGACTTCCTCGGTGTCCTCCTTCACCGTCTCCAGGACGGGTCCAATCGCCTGCGTATTCTCCTGATTCGCGTCGGGCCGCAGGTCCTCGGGCAGCGTCGGTTCGAACAGGTACGTGCCGGAAGCCATGGCCACGATGTCGGGGTACATGTACGCCTGCAAGGACGTGTCTGATGACAGGTCATCATCGGTGTCCTTCTTTGGTCTGTGCAGTGATGCGTAAGGGTCCCAGGGCAGGTCCATCGTGTCGATGCCCTTGTCAAAGTGTTCAACTGGAGATGAAAAGTTGAAAGTATCTTCACAGTTGAAAGTAAGGTCACATTTAAATGTAAGGTCACAGTTGAAAGTAAGGACACAGTTGAAAATAAGATCACAGTTGAAAGTAAAGTCAAAGGATATCGTGATGTTGTATTTTCTGCGTCACAAATTGCGAATAATAATAAGATTGGGTGGAACTTGGGGTGGGAGGGGGGGGGGCACGTTCAGGTTATTTAAAACAAAATGACCAGCTCCAGGTATGAGGAACACAAAGTAGAAGTGTCACAAAGGTAGGAGTAGCACAAAAAAGGAGTGGAACAAGGTTAGCGTGGCATAAAGTAGTAGAAGCACAAAGTATTAGAAACAAGTAGGAGTAGCACAGATTGGGAATAGCACTATGTAGGAGTTGCACAAAGTAGGAGTAGCAAAAAATAGGAGTAGCACTGGTAGGAGTCGCACACAGTAGGAGTAGCAAAAGGTGGGAGTAGCACACGGTGGAAGAAGCACACGGTAGGAGTAGCACAAGCTTAGGGAAAAACTGAAGAAAAGACATAAAAAAAAAAAAAAAGTTTGAACGGACAAAAACAGTTAACAAAATTATAAAAAGAATTAAACAGATTTTTTTGGAAGAAGGCATTTTACCAACACGTCCTTTGCTTCCTTTTGTCTTTTAAAAAATTTTTTTTTTAGTTGTTGTTAGTTTTTCCNACGGTAGGAGTAGCAAAAGCTTAGGGAAAAACTGAAGAAAAGACATAAAAAAAAAAAAAAAGTTTGAACGGACAAAAACAGTTAACAAAATTATAAAAAGAATTAAACAGATTTTTCTGGAAGAAGGCATTTTGCCAACACGTCCTTTGCTTCCTTTTGTCTTTTAAAAAATTTTTTTTTTAGTTGTTGTTAGTTTTTCCACTGCCTCATGTTACTTATTCCATATCACATTATCTTTAACATGGGATAAAATTCGATATGCATCTCTCCTATCCTTACATAGTTGCTCATTGAGAGGTGAGTGAGAGTTATTGAAACCAGAGGAATGCTATATTTACATTATAAATAGGCAGGCATTAGTTCGCATAATTGCTCCCTTCACCACGATTTTGGAGCGTACCACGTGCACAAAGCGTGGACCAATGTCAGTGTAAGGACATGTTTGCAAATATTGACGTATTGACGTATTGCCACAAGCTAGAAACTCAATTTTTGGGCCACGGTGCCCTCAAACTGTGATCCGTACGGGCCGCAGCGCCCTCATTTGTGATCCGTACGAGCCGCAGCGCCCCTTATTCGTGATCCGTACGGACGGTACCCTCGTTTGGGATCCGTTCGGACGGTACCCTTGTTTGTGATCCGTACGGGACGCAGCGCCCTTATTTCTGATCGGCAGAAATAAACTTATTTAGGGAGTTTGGTTTAGAAAGGGGCTATCATCCAACCTTCTGCAGTTCTACGAAGTGTAATTCGTCAATGGTCCCCCTGGCGAACACGGTGGCCCATACATCAACACGGCTTATGTAGGCTACATATGGGTACCCCTCGCTGCGTTAGTAGGCCCTGTGGCGTAGCTAGGGGGTGCGGGGGTTGCTTACCGCACCGAGTGACACCATTTCAGGGGCGTGACATCACATTGATTTTTTTTTTCCAGAGCACACTCTACTTGACCTGACCTCATTTCATAAATAATAACCGATCATGCGTGAATTGTTCCGAATCCGAAGGCGTACTTTATTAAAGTTCACGTTTGATGTGTCAGAGATGATGTGTCAGAGATGATGTGTCAGAGATGATGTGTCAGAGAAGATGTGTCAGAGATGATGTGTCAGAGATGATGTGTCAGAGATGATGGGTCTCAACGCCGATTGAAGCGTTCGGTAACTTTCGTAAGTGACAGCTAGCTCTCTATTTATCTAAGTTCTGATGCATAACGCTGTCCATTGATACTAAATATGATACGGTCGGGTGATTCCAAGTACATGTTACATTTTTTGTTACATTTACCTCCTCACCTTCAGTTAGTTTGTATTTGTTCTTGTCATTGTTATACTGTGTACTTATTTTAACCACCCCCCCCAAAAAAAAAAAAAAAAAAACCAGTATGGATGTGTGGGGATGGGGGGAGTGATTCCAAGTACATGTTACATTTTTTGTTACATGTACCACCTCACCTTCAGTTAGTTTGTATTTGTTCTTGTCATTGTTATACTGTGTACTTATTTTAACCACCCCCCCCAAAAAAAAAAAAAAAAAATCCAGTATGGATGTGTGGGGTTGGGTGACACCATGAGTTTACCGTACCAGACGACACCGACCCAAGCTACCTCACTTTGTACCTCAACACTGCGTTCGTGGGCCTGATTTGTACCTCAACACTGTGTGAGTCCAAATGATTTGAAGCTCAACACTGCGTTAGTGGGCTTGATTTCGGCAATGAACTGCCTGACACTACTTACCAGGGACTTCATTGATTTGTGTCAACAACTTTCTCTTATGTTCTTCAAATCTGAGGAGATGAGTTAGCCGAGTAGATGAGTTAGCCGAGTGCCGAGTAGATGAGATTGCCGAGTAGATGAGTTAGCCCAGTAGATGAGTTAGCCGAGTAGATGAGTTAGCCCAGTAGATGAGTTAGCCGAGTAGATAAGTTAGCCGAGTAGATGACTTAGCCGAGTAAATACGTTAGCCGAGTGGATGAGTTAGCCGAGTAGATGAAAGCAGTGAGAGATTAGCCATTTTACGTCTGGTTAAGGCTTATCATTGAAATGGCTTGGGCTTTCGCGATAACATTACGTTATATATTGATCTACATTTACATGTGCTTTGCTCTTGACAAGAAGGATGGAGCTACGGGTCCACCACGCTCAAGAATAACTTAAACACTGAGAGCTCCCCCCCCCCCCATGTCATCATGCACACAGACAACTAATGAAGAGTGCTCTAGTTCCAATGTCTACCAGGTCTCTTATGTGGGTGGTCAGTTTGTCGTTACGATAATTGAAGATATAAGATTTTTTTTTTAAAGTTAGTTTTATTTTTAAATCATTTACAATTTGCTTTAACTTCGCTTTTGTTCGTGGCTGGTTGGCAAAATCTTCCGACGACTAATTGACCCACTTCCTGTCAACCTATTGAAATGAAACTTGGCACATGTACTCGCTGCGGGTAAAAACACATTCTTTCAAATTCACAGCCCTAGTCCCCATCCCCCCAAAAATCAGTTTTTAGTTTGGTTTGTTTTTATTGGAAAGGTGAAGGAAATATGATTAAACGAAGTAAAATTGCCAATAACTGCGCTAAATGAGATTCTTTTTAAAAAAAGATATTGCAAATGCGTTTGGTTGGTGCGTAATATTTTCTTTCTTTCTTTTTTTTTTTTCTGCAATAGTTGATGAAATAAATCTGCGGTGTAAAAGCTGGTGGGTCATTTTAGAATATTAACATTGTTCCCGGGCGTGAGAAAATGTGCTGTTGGGGGGAGGGGGGGGGGGAGGGAGATAGCACTAATTGGGAAGCTTATAAAGTCGCTTGCTTGTATGATTGTTTTGTCCAAATTTTCAACCCCCTCCCGCAAGACTCGATCTTACATTTTGAAAAGGGTTTACACGAAAAAAACTTTGTTTTTAGGGGATTGGCTAGTTTAAAATTAAACTCTTGATTCCTGTCATTTTTCGGCTTGTTCATCCTTACTATCAATAATTTTGGCATGCTTGCATGACGTCAACTCGGGTCGAATCGTAACTTTTTGATTGTTATATGAAAAAACAATGTATCATATCCCACAAGGGAACGTTTCCCAAAAAAAACTTGGGAGGTCGCTTTAGTATCGCCGTCTTACTTAAGTTGTCTACTGTTAATCATACATGTGAAAATATTATAACAGAGCAAACACTAGTAATACATTAGTAGATTCTATTAAAGGACAGTCGTCTAAAATACACGAGAATAAGAGACACCAAACCCATTATACCTTATTATACAATAAGAGAGCCTTTGCACCTAGGACATTACTTTATACTATAAAAGAGCCTCTGTCCATAAAACTTAGTATATACTTTATAAAGCCCATTTCCATAACACATCAGCACATACTATAAGAAAGCCTCTGTCCATAACACGTTAGCACGTACTATAAGAAAGCCCCTGTCCATCACACATTAGTTCACACTATAAGAGGGCCTCTGTCCATAAAACACTAGTTGAGACTGAGGTCATCAGTCCATAACACATTAACACATACTATAAAAGGGATCTGTCCATAACACATTAGTTCATACTATAAGAGGGCCTCTGTCCATAACACATTAGTTCATACTATAAGAGGGCCTCTGTCCATAACACGTTAGTTCATACTGAGGGCCTCAGACCATAACACATTAGCACATACTATAAGAGGGCCTCTGTCCATAACACATTAGCACATACTATAAGAGGGCCTCTGTCCATAACACATTAGTTCATACTATAAGAGGGCCTCTGCCCATAACACATTAGTACATACTGAGGGCCTCAGACCATAACACATTAACACATACTATAAAAGGGCCTCTGTCCATAACACATTAGTTCATACTAAAAGATGGCCTCTGTCCATAACACGTTAGTTCATACTGAGGGCCTCAGACCATAACACATTAGCCCATACTATAAGAGGGCCTCTGTCCATAACACATTAGCACATACTATAAGAGGGCCTCTGTCCATAACACATTAGTTCATACTATAAGAGGGCCTCTGCCCATAACACATTAGTTCATACTGAGGGCCTCAGACCATAACACATTAACACATACTATAAAAGGGCCTCTGTCCATAACACATTAGTTCATACTATAAGAGGGCCTCTGTCCATAACACATTAGCACATACTATAAAAGGGCCTCTGTCCATAACACATTAGTTCATACTATAAGAGGGCCTCTGTCCATAACACGTTAGTTCATACTGAGGGCATCAGACCATAACACATTAGCACATACTATAAGAGGGCCTCTGTCCATAACACATTAGCACATACTATAAAAGGGCCTCTGTCCATAACACATTAGTTCATACTATAAGAGGGCCTCTGTCCATAACACGTTAGTTCATACTGAGGGCCTCAGACCATAACACATTAGCACATACTATAAGAGGGCCTCTGCCCATAACACGTTAGTTCATACTGAGGGCCTCAGACCATAACACATTAGCACATACTATAAGAGGGCCTCTGCCCATAACACGTTAGTTCATACTGAGGGCCTCTGTCCATAACACATTAGCTCATACTATAAGAGGGCCTCTGCCCATAACACATTAGTTCATACTTTAAGAGGGCCTCTGCCCATAACACATTAGTTCATACTGAGGGCCTCAGACCATAACACATTAGCTCATACTATAAGAGGGCCTCTGCCCATAACACATTAGTTCATACTATAAGAGGGCCTCTGCCCATAACACGTTAGTTCATACTGAGGGCCTCTGTCCATAACACATTAGCTCATACTATAAGAGGGCCTCTGCCCATAACACATTAGTTCATACTTTAAGAGGGCCTCTGCCCATAACACATTAGTTCATACTATAAGAGGGCCTCTGCCCATAACACATTAGTTCATACTATAAGAGGGCCTCTGCCCATAACACATTAGTTCATACTATAAGAGGGCCTCTGCCCATAACACATTAGTTCATACTATAAGAGGGCCTCTGTCCATAACACATTAGTTCATACTATAAGAGGGCCTCTGCCCATAACACATTAGTTCATACTATAAGAGGGCCTCTGTCCATAACACATTAGTTCATACTATAAGAGGGCCTCTGTCCATAACACGTTAGTTCATACTATAAGAGGGCCTCTGTCCATAACACATTAGCACATACTATAAGAGGGCCTCTGTCCATAACACATTAGTTCATACTTTAAGAGACCTCTGCCCATAACACATTAGTTCATACTTTAAGAGACCTCTGCCCATAACACATTAGTTCATACTTTAAGAGACCTCTGCCCATAACACATTAGTTCATACTTTAAGAGACCTCTGTCCATAACACATTAGTTCATACTTTAAGAGACCTCTGCCCATAACACATTAGTTCATACTTTAAGAGACCTCTGTCCATAACACATTAGCACATACTATAAGAGGGCCTCTGTCCATAACACATTAGTTCATACTTTAAGAGACCTCTGTCCATAACACATTAGTTCATAATATAAGAGGGCCTCTGTCCATAACACATTAGTTCATAATATAAGAGGGCCTCTGTCCATAACACATTAGTTCATAATATAAGAGGGCCTCTGTCCATAACACATTAGTTCATACTGAGGGCCTCTGTCCATAACACATTAGCACATACTATAAGAGGGCCTCTGCCCATAACACATTAGTTCATACTGAGGGCCTCTGTCCATAACACATTAGCACATACTATAAGAGGGCCTCTGTCCATAACACATTAGTTCATACTTTAAGAGGGCCTCTGCCCATAACACATTAGCACATACTATAAGAGACCTCTGCCCATAACACATTAGCACATACTATAAGAGACCTCTGCCCATAACACATTAGTTCATACCATATGAGATAGCCGCTACTCACCTCTTCGCGACTGAATACTTGGAGTGTGGCTTCACGTTGACTATCTGCTTCTCGTTGTTCATCTTGAAGGGTGATAACAATGACAGTCAAATTATGTATGATCTTTGATGACGTCAACAGGCACCTATCACTAACTAGACGTACTTAAAATGGCCAATCCTATTGCACTACCTACTAATATGGGAAATATATAATTTATTTAAAACGTTGCTTGCCTGTTCAGTGTCACTTTACTTTAAACTAAAGGAAAAACACATTTTAATGCCTTTGTTCCAATCAATTATATCAAGTAGGGTTAACATTAGAAATACATTTGTTTACCTCATCCTCATCAGCGACATGTCTCTGAGATTCAATGTTAAATGCTAGAGTGCTAAATGCCACAATCAGCGAGGCACGGATGTCCTCAATAGCAAACTATACAACTTTCTTTAGTTGGATGTTGTCGTAACCTTTTTAAACTCCCCTTTTACCAAACCCCCCCCCCCCTCATAATGCCAACGTTAAAATCTCCTCCTAGTTGCCACGCCCCCTCATATTGTCAACTATAATGCCAACGTTAAACTCTCCTCCTAGTTGCCACGCCCCCTCATATTGTCAACTGTTAAAACTAAAATCTAACTCATAGTTGCCTAGCAACCCCCCCCCCCTCATATTGCCAACTGTTAAATCTAAAATCTCCTCCTAGTTGCCACGCCCCCTCATATTGTCCACTGTTAAATCTCCTCCTAGTTGCCACGCCCCCTCATATTGTCCACTATTAAATCTCCTCCTAGTTGCCACGCCCCCTCATAATTGTCCACTGTTAAATCTCCTCATTGTTGCCCCGCCACCCCCTCTCCTAAAATGCTAATTTTTAAAACTCCTCTTAGTAACCAGGCTCTATTAAAATGTCAACTTTTAAAACTGATCCTGGTTACCACGCCCCTTTCAAAATGCAAACTTCTTTAAACAAAACTCTCATAGCCCAGGCCACGACCAGCCTATTTTGAATGAAAAAAACAAATGTTATTTTATGTTTTCAAAGACCATAATGAAAAGCGTTCCACAGTCCTGCTTTATGCACAGTGTAATTGATATGTTTACTTTTCTACCTAATGGAAGATCTCATAAATTTCTAAACGAAATGATTATGATATACTCATAAATATTTATACAAAGAAGCATATTGAAAGAAGCATGTTACCATTTCTTTTTTTTCAAAAGCGTCAATATCGGCGATAAATTGCTTGTATTTAGTGCAGCAATACAGACTGGTACGGTCCCAGACGGTTCTCAGCTGGTGCGTGGTGGGTATCGGCAGTATGTCTTTTCCTGTTGTGAATACACATTTTATTACATTTCCTTTTGGTTTAAAATCTTACAACAATTACAATAAGTCCTATGTTCATGAGTGTGAATAAAGTATAAGTATCGATTAAATTCATTGGAATGGGGCGTTTTTCACCTCTGTGAATATTGATCTGATTGATTCCATTTAAATAAACAGAATTTTCCGAACGGTAAATTCTATAACAGATTTACCAATGGTTATCAGAATTTTTCAGCAAATGTGACTTTTGTACCTCAGGTGACTTTTGTACTTAAGGTGACTTTTGTACCTCAGGTGACTTTTGTACTTAAGGTGACTTTTGTACCTAAGGTGACTTTTGTACCTCAGGTGACTTTTGTACCTAAGGTGACTTTTGTACCTCAGGTGACTTTTGTACCTAAGGTGACTTTCGTACCTAAGGTGACTTTTGTACCTAAGGTGACTTTTGTACCTAAGGTGACTTTTGTACCTCAGGTGACTTTTGTACCTAAGGTGACTTTTGTACCTAAGGTGACTTTTGTACCTAAGGTGACTTTTATGCCTAAGGTGACTTTTGTACCTAAGGTGACTTTTGTACTTAAGGCGACATGGCACGAAAGGCAAGAAAGTAATCCATTTAAGAGGCATAGTAATCGTACTCCTACTACTGCCATTTAAGGTAAATATCAAACAGCCACCATGGAAAAAAAGGGGGGTGGGGTAGGTGGGACTAAATGGATACTCTTTAAAAAAATTCTTTTCACTCATAATTACTGAGGCTTGTTGTTGAATGATATGCATTTCTTTAAAACAATGAATCTTAATCCAATTATGCTGACAATATCGCCATAGAATTATAGAAGACGAGACACTGTTATAGAATACAGTTAATAGCACTTATATCCACAAGAAACGTTACGGAAAGATACCATTGGAGATCATGTCAAGGACTGATTAAACAACTATTCGTATTGGTGCCTCTCCAAGTACTTGGGTCTCCTAGCGGCCCCTGGTCACGCGTGAGTACTCGTTAGAGAGAAAAGATCCGCTTACCACACAACAGAGTAGAGCCACTTACCACAAAACAGACAAGAGCCACTTACCACACAACAGAGTAGAGCCACTTACCACAAAACAGACAAGAGCCACTTACCACACAACAGAGTAGAGCCACTTACCACAAAACAGACAAGAGCCACTTACCACACAGCAGAGTAGAGTCACTTACAACACAACAGAAAAGAGCCACTTACATAACAACAGAGTAGAGTCACTTACCACACAACAGACAAGAACAACTTACCACAAAACAGAGTAGAGCCACTTACCACACAAAAGAGTAAGCCACTTACCATGACACATCAAGCGTATGTTCACTTACCACATCGCAGAGTAGAGCCACTTAATATGACACATATAGCGTCTGGTCACCTACCACACCACAGAGTAGAGCCACTTACCATAACAGATATAGCGTATTGTCACTTACCACACCACAGAGTAGAGCCACTTACCATAACACATATAGCGTATTGTCACCTACCACACCACAGAGTAGAGCCACTTACCATAACACATATAGCGTATTGTCACCTACCACACCACAGAGTAGAGCCACTTACCATAACACATATAGCGTATTGTCACCTACCACACCACAGAGTAGAGCCACTTACCATAACACATATAGCGTATTGTCACCTACCACACCACAGAGTAGAGCCACTTACCATAACACATATAGCGTATTGTCACCTACCACACCACAGAGTAGAGCCACTTACCATAACACATATAGCGTATTGTCACCTACCACACCACAGAGTAGAGCCACTTACCATAACACATATAGCGTATTGTCACCTACCACACCACAGAGTAGAGCCACTTACCATAACACATATAGCGTATTGTCACCTACCACACCACAGAGTAGAGCCACTTACCATGACACATATAGCGTATTGTCACCTACCACACCACAGAGTAGAGCCACTTACCATGAAACATATAGCGTATTGTCACTTACCACACCACAGAGTAGAGCCACTTACCATGACACATATAGCGTATTGTCACTTACCACACCACAGAGTAGAGCCACTTACCATGACACATATAGCGTATTGTCACCTACCACACCACAGAGTAGAGCCACTTACCATGACACATATAGCCTATGGTCACTTACCACACCACTCACAGAAGCCAGTTGTTTTCCCGATAGGGTTGCCCGTTTTGTCCAGTGGGATGTTTTCCAGGTCGAACATTCCTTCTTCCTCCAAGTTCTGTTGAACATTGTAAAGCCTTGGTCAGCAGGCAACACAGCGCACATCATTCACGGACTTGTAATAGATACTAACTGATTGATTGTTTGATGTTTTTTATGTATTTGAATTTCAAATTAATTAAAAATTGTTATTTTAATTCCTTCAGTCAATTGGGATCTCGTGAGAAAATGTGTGCTTGACCATTTTGACGTCTGGCTTTATTTAGTTTGCTGTTTTTAAACAAAATGAAGAGTGTTTAGGGGGGGGGGGTGTGTGTGAAGAGTTCAAGAAAGTAACGTTTCGGGTCAAGCTCGTTCCTCACTCACATTACAGCGAGGCGGTGAACTCGCTTTGAACTTTTGAAGGGCTGTAATACGCCTTCACGGGTGATTGATGGTTTGAGTTAGCACCTTGTCGCTTGGGGGGGGGGGGGGGTTTTGGGAATTTTAATCGCGGTCGAATTTTACAAACTTAAGTGGGTGTCAGTAAAATTACACTTTTTTTTTATTAAAAAAATAAATAAAAAAAAATATTTTTTAGCANGGGGGGGGGGGGGGTCTTGGGAAATTTAATCGCGGTCGAATATTACAAACTTAAGTGAGTGTCACTGAAATTACACTTTTTTATTATTAAAAAAATAAAGTAAAAAAAAGAGTTATAATATTTTACCAGGAAAACCAGAAAAAAAACATACAAGAAGCTAACAAAGAGGTTTGAAAAATTGTTTTAAAAATTCCAGAGTCTCAAAATGTCAAATTCATTTCTCCTGCTAGGTTATAGGAAAAGAACTCTAAATCAAAAGTTGAAAAATTAAATTTGGTGCAGGCAATCAATCTTTTAATTATTTTTTTTTTGTTGTTGTTGATTATACGACTTGACAGGATGGAAGACTACTTAGGCTACTAACTGCCCGGCAAACAACATTAATATAATATGTAAAGGAACAAAGCATTCACACCAGTTAAAGTAAAAAGCAATACGTCATTAGCTAACACAAAAACGGGGTAAAAAAAATCTTTGTTTTGTTTTTAAATTCATCTTTTGAAGTTAATGATATTATTTCTGACTGCAACAACGTCACAATTCACCAGGTAATTAACTAAACAAACGGACTTTTTAAAATTACATACATAACTTAATCAACGATAACATCAGAAATTTATAGTTAGTTGGGTAAAGAAGTGGGCACTAGTGGCATAATTCTAAGGTTGCCATCTAGGGAAAATATCTGCACGTTGAGGGTTTTGTATGAATACGAGACATCTCTTCAGTAGATGTCAGTACGAGAAGTCTCTTCAGTATTTGTCAATATGTGAAATATCTTCAGTATATGTCATAATGTGAGATCTCTTCAGTACGAGAAGTCGCTTTAGTATCAGTCAACAGATCATTGATATCAATTAAAAAAAAAAATACTTACACGACCTGTGATGTCTGTAGAGAAAATGTAAACAATCATTCATTGGTTTAAAGCAAATTAACAAAAACTATATCTTATTTCTGAAACGCGAACATTGGCGATAACATTACCCGATGGGCGGTGAGGGTATTGAATCATATAATCAAATTATGTGTAAACTGAAGGAAAATCGCAAGGTACAAAAAGTACAACAACAATGTTTTTTGTGTCATTTAATCTTCAAAATCTTTTTAAAAAACCGACAACCTTTTCACTCTATAGCAGCTTAGTGCTATGTCGCACTCTATAAACATTGTTTTGTCACACCAAATAACATTGCTCAGTCTCACTATAAAAACATGGCTATATCTCACTATAGAACAGTGCTATGTCTCACTATATAACAGTAAATCGTCCAGTTAGTTTATCATCTTTCTTGTGAGGTGACCAGGATGTCTTTACTTGGTTTCAGGTAAGGCTGAACCAAAGCATTACCCCAGTGAAGCACAATTATAACTTTTCTCTTACATAGGCTCTTTTCTTTCACGGGAACTAACTGCTTTTCGGATCCTCCTGGCGTACATGAGAACCACTGCTTTGAAATATCAACATTTTAATCAACACTTTCATTGTATTATATATTTTAATTACAATTACAATATTAAATGTTGTGTAAAAGAATCATGAAAGTTGTTGATTGGGCCCGGCGATGATTGGTGTCTGCGTGCTACGGACAACAGGTATTAATAAAGCATCTGGAATGGAGTAACAATTAGGGAATTGCATACAATCTAATTAGGCACGTGAGTGAAGCCGAGGACACAACACGTTATAAACTGCGAGGACACAGCTGCGAAGACACGGCTAGTTTAACTGCGAAGACACAGCTAGTTTAACAGCGAAGACACAGCTAGTTTAACTGCGAAGACACAGCTAGTATTAACTTCGAGGACACATCTAGTTATGACTTCGAGGACACATCTTATTATGACTGTGAATAAACGGCTAGTATTAACTTCGAGGACACAGGCGGTTATAACTCTAAAAGGGTGACAGTTTTATCTCTTCATTTAGCACTATTTTTTAGCTAACGTTCCCTTACATGCCAAATAATACGAATACAGAAATGTGTTAAAACTTCTGACCTTGACCCTGATATGACAGGGAACTAAATCTCCGTCGCCTGTCGTTAGGATCCGACATGCCACCTTTCGTGGTTCTCTCCCCTTGATCGTGTGTGCTCTTGGCCTGGCCGCTCGATTCTGGGGGCAGCAAAACCTTGCGGTCTTGGCTTTTCCCCGTGTCTGCGTTCGGCTTCATCGTTTTCAGCGGATCCAGTGCGGTACTCGGGGTAGCCCCGGAACTTGGCGGATCTGCTGCCGTCTGGACACCAGGTTGTTGACCTTGCTCCTGTGGTGGCTGCGCCTCTTTGGCGGCCGTGTCCTGCAGCGTTGGTACGGACGTTTTGTTCTCGGTCAGACTAGCGGACGAATCCATGGCACTTAATCCATAGGTCCCTAATTGACGTATGCGCAGGGCGCTGAGCCAGAGGCTAAGTGTCTGGGTGGCCTGTTCCTTGACGGTAGCATCGTCTTTGAAATTGAGGTTAGAGATTTTTGTCCAGTGGAAGGTCGCTGCATAAGTGCTAAAAGAGAATGGATGACATCATTGAAATACTATAAGTACTGTGTCCTGGTGTGGTTGGATTTAAACATTTTTTTTTAAATTTCTAAGCATCTCTGCTCAACATTTGTATTTGTATTACAAATGGGTCTTATGATTTATTATAAGATTAGCAAAACGTTAACTTTAAGCATCCGCGATGCAGTTGAAAGATATCAATTTCTAAATTTAATATAAAAAATGTTTTCGGTAATTTTAAAATTAGGCTCATGCTGAATATCAAGCTTAGTAAAGGCACTCGTGCATGGTTCTCAATTCAATGCTTTGGTTCTTTGAACACATTAAATAGTTCCTAATCATTTCTACATTCGCTTGGTACAGAGCGCTAGACACGTTACCATCTGTGTGACACTGTCTTAATCAAATCTCTGTACTCTGCCACCATCTTGGCGGTCTTTATAACAAAAAACAACAACATCAAAATATAGTGTCGTTGACAGTTGTAGTGAATCCTAGCACACTCAAGCCCTTAAGTCTACCAACACATTGAACCCCTTGTTTAATACAAACCGAGGGATGATGAATTCCTCGTTGATGTCAGGTCGGACATTTTTCAAGATTGCAGGAAGGGTTTTCCCTCTCCCTGGCTTGTCCAGTTGCTTGGGAGGGGCTGATTAAAAAAAAAAAAAAGCAACAAATGTCAATAATGGATTTTAAAAGTTTAGTTCATTTATAATATCTTTATTTTTCTAAGTTAAAATATTCGTATTTCTGTTTAATACTCCACCCCCCTTTCATTTTTTTTTCTTGTTCACACTCCATTGAAAACATTTTTGAAACTGTTCTCCAACTATATATTTCACGGTGACGCAAATCAAACGTACTTACAGTGGCGTAGCTAGGGATTTGGGGGCCCGGGAGGCTTGGCCTCCTTAGGGACCCCTGCATTTTGACATTCGACATTATTTAATGTAAAAAAAAATTAAGGACACGCCTTTGGGGCCCCCCTCAAGTAGGGGCCCGGGGGACATTCAAATTTGGAGCCCCCTCCCCTAGCGTCGCCACTGCGTATATAATGTCATGTAACACTAACTTTCTTTTAACAGCTGCTTTCTCTTACAACATTTGAAAAGATGTTAAAGATGCGAGGCGACTCACTTGGTCGAATGTAAGGCGGCAAGGGGGCACTTTTTATAATGGAGAAGGTGTCTAAGATGTTCTTGAACTTTTTATTCAAGAACCGCCTCCGCTTCTCTACCAGTGGGTTGTACAGGACTCCCAACGTCCGGAGACTTGGTGGCTCGGCGACTTGAGTGCTGGTGTCATCGCCTGGTTTCACGGGGCACATCTGCATGTTACTGCCAGGATCTACTTGGATTTCTGTGTACGTCATCTGGAATAGAGTCAAGTTTAATTAAATGGTTGCAGTCCTGGATTGAGCAGATACACAGCGACTCGTGCAACTTCCTCTTTTAAAAAGAAAAAATAAAGAACAATAAAATTTGAAGACCAAAATTTGAAGATGTAAAATGAACTTAAATGACCATATTCCAGAGTTTACACAATCAAATTACTACGTTAGATAGTTTCCACACATAAATTACATAATTAGTCAGTTTCAACACTTACCATATTATAGAGTTTCCACACATAACATAGGATAGAGTTTCCATACTTACCATATTATAGTTTCTACACTTACCATATTACAGAGTTTCCACACTTAACATATTATAGTTTCTACACTTACCATATTATAGAGTTTCCACACTTACCATATTATAGTTTCTACACTTACCATATTATAGAGATTCCCCACATAACATATAGAGCTTCCATACTTACCATATTATAGAGTTTCCAAGCCTCTTTCTTACAACAGTCCGGTTTCTCTAGCCTCCGCTGTTGTCTGGCTTCTCTCTCCTCTTTCGAGTACATTGTCATTGAGGTCGTGACCAATGGTATCCAACGTCTCTTGCCCTTACGCTTGGTCTTCGACAATTGTAGTTTACGCCTCTCTCGTGGAGGCTCCGTTTCCGTGGCGTCGACTGAAGGCTCACCTTCTGTGGGTTCCTCCATTTTTTGTTACGACTCTGGTCCTACAATTATTTTAACAAGCCCTGAAAAGAAAGGTTTGGTCATTTACTCTGTGATGTTTTTATTACAAACATGATTTAAAAATGTGTTTTCGTATTTAAACATTTTAAATAATTGTTTTCATTTTAAATTGGTCTAATCAAACATTTAAGTACTTAATAATAAGTAAACTGGACTCAGCTGCGCCATCTGCGTGCCCATTTTATTTTATGTAATTGGATCCGTAAAATGATTTAAACACGTCAGATGTAGGAACGTCTTCGTCGACGCCGTCTTGTGATGTACAAGACTGTAGCAAAAATGACAAACTACATTTTAATTAAAAAGATCGCCTCGTTTGAGCATCGTGGATTAAACTCTAATAATTTTAAGTTATTGGTAAATGGTCTTTTAAGTATTATTACCTTTTTTTTTAAATGTATGACTAACAGACACAAACTTTCTAACTGACCTTTTCACATCCAAATATCTAAGTGTGTCATGAATCAATTTTTAAACTTGGGAAAATAATTAAATTTACTGTTAACCAATCCGAGAAACGCTTAGAGCGGTGCAAAGGAATTTCCCAAAGATATCGTAAACGGGTGCAACCCGACGCGATCTATTACTGAAAATGTTTCTTCTCTTTATTTTTGCTTCCAAACTCTTACAATATAAGGTATCGAAATAATTAGTTTCATCATTTTCCTTGTATCAAACTCTTACAAATATAAGACACCCCAATGCATGTAATTTATTAGTTTCACAGTTTTCCTTGTATCAAACTTTTACAATATAAGGCTATGAGAAAAATAATGTATGCCAAATTCAATAAGTGGAATGGGTGACTAAATGTTTTATTTGAAGGCACTACCTTTCTATAACTCGCATCAACAATTCTAATTTCCACAACTTAAACACAACAGATTTTTAACAACATTAGCATAGCGTTCTAAATCAAATATAACAATTGTTTGGACTGAACCAGTTCAGACAACTGAGAATGTTTATGTAACGCATGAGAGTCAAAATTAGCAGAGTCCTTATGAAAATGATGTTTTGAGAATTAAAAAAGAAAAAGTTGGATGAGTTATCACAACGACAGACACAATTATTTAAAAAGTGCTGAAGAAACAATCATAAACTCCCCCACCTAAACCAAGTCTCCGATGTCTTGCCTCTCAACGGTTCTTCAACCAAATGTGTAGATGCGAGACCAATATAGGATTTTCTCGGTAAGAATTATTTCCTCGCTATAGTTTGAGATTCATTTTGAAAGCTGTCAATTTATTATTATTATTTTTTATTTTATTTTATTTTTTTATTTTTTTTTTTGCAGCTCCGGGTTGACTGAACTCACGGATTCAAATATGTTGACCAAAAACGACAGGTATATAAGAAAACGGACATCAGAGAATATCGCGTCCACATCTGGTTTAGCGTCTTGCAAAAAAACTGCTGCGTTTGTTTGAGAAGAGACGATGACGATAAAATCTATCACCGAGACGAAAAGTTTGCATCGTAATTTTTGGAAAGAAGATGATAGTGTGAATAAGCTAATACATTTTGACAGAGGATAATAGTGTGAATAACCTAATACATTTTGAGCTAATTCTCGATGATGCAGAAACTAATTTCAAGGGCTCACAAAGCAACAATAATTTGTGTTGGATATGATGGTGTGGTGAAATGACTTCCTGTTGGTAGGTGTAGGGGGGATGACTCTCATCTGAGTCAATCACCTGCTTGTGACTGGGGATTTGTAGGTCTTATTCCTTCACTCACTCAGGGACATAATAATAATAATAATAATAATAATAATAATCAATAATGCGTATATTTCAAAATAATCGATTTAAAAAATTAGGAAATGAAATTAAAGTATTTATTAACATAGCCACCCTGTCTTTTTCCCTTTTTTTAAAAGAAAATTTACTACTGCTCACTTCCTTTCCGTTCTTCTGATTTTTCTTTCTGACAGGGACGTGTGCCCACCCTTATTCTTTTCTCTCATTTTTATATAGGATACATGACATGTACATACATTATATATATATATATATGATATATATATGATATATATATATATATATATATATATATGCACACATGCCCTATGCATGACTTGACTGCATTTGTTCACTCTGTTCAGCTTTGCAATTATTTTGAAGGATTTTTTAATCGTTTCCTTAGAATCAAGAAATTGCGAATGTGTTAAAAATGTACTTTGGACCGTTAAACTTACGAAATATCGCGAGGAACAGCGTTTCTATAGATTTTTTTTCATTGTAAGCTTCAACCGAAAAGGATTTCCCATCCGCCATCTAGGAAACAAATGGCGAGATCAAAACAACCGAACGGCGACGATTCATCTACATTCATCCGGGTTATCCATGATCTTGCGAAATAAACAAACAGAACTGCTTTAGAACCACAAAGGTATACTAGAGAGCCTACTCACGTCAGAGTTAATCTGGCCACATAATTCTTTCACGTAAAACCTTGAAGAATCTGAAACACAAAGATACCATTTTTTTAAAGGAAACAACAAAAACACAGAGAAAGAATGATACAATATGTGTAACGTAAAAAAATAAACTTTAAAAAAAATCATTGGAATCACGTGTTATAATGATTCCTATTATAAAATGTAAGATTTTTGGTTTCAAAGAGTTTTCTTTCCTTTTGTTTGGAACGTGCACTTTTTTTTATGAAGGGAGCCTAATCCCAAGTGTCCAACTAAGAGGCCACACACTAAATTATTGTTGGGATCCGTCTAATTGGTAGAAGAGTCACTTTAGAGCACGAACAACTCACTTGCGAGTTTTCACTCTGAATTCCAGGAAGACAAAGGATTTGCTCTGGAGTTTAAATTTAAAAAAAAAAAAAGAAGTTCAAAACAATAACACAAAACACATCTTTATTCATTTAGATGAGAATTTTGTAGTGTTTACGTTTCCAACCATGAAACAACTGTTTGACCTTTCTATTAAGCCTTGTAATGAGCACGTTGGGCTGGAACCGCCACTTGCGTGAATCTCTAATTGCCGGACACGACGCAGCAAATGAACCATTTTTGGGGGGCAAGTCCCACACGTGATAAATCGCGTGCCGCATGTTGTCTGGAGGCCAGTAACGAAGTCTGGTGGTATGTTGGCCTCTTGAGTTGACATGCGGAACAGAAATCCACATTGTATTATATACTGTCTTTGGTGGACAGTGGCGTACCCAGGGTTAGATTCGCCCGGGGGGCACGCCAAGAGTTTGTCCATCCCACTTCCACGAAATTATTCCTGTGGTTTTCCGAAAATGCGGCCCCTTGACATAGAGAAACAAATACCTGATGGGATGAACCACACCCCCCCCCCCCAACCACCATCCAGTTCCCTTACCAACTGCTGGCAGGTCTACCTAACTAATCATGGAACCTATCTCCGGGACCCACTTCCACGAAATTATTCCTGTGGTTTTCCGAAAATGCGGCCCCTTGACATAGAGAAACAAATACCTGATGGGATGAACCCCAACCCCCCCCCCCCAACCACCATCCAGTTCCCTTACCAACTGCTGGCAGGTCTACCTAACTAATCATGGAACCTATCTCCGGGTAATTTACCTAACTAATCATGGAGCCTATCTCTGGGTAACTTACCTAACTAATCATGGAGCCGATCTCCGGGTAATTTACCTAACTAATCATGGAGCCTATCTCCAGGAGGTTTACCTAACTAATCATGGAGGTTATCTCCACGAGGTTTTCCTATCTAATCATGGAGCCTATCTCCACCAGGTTTACCTAACTATTCATGGAACCTATCTTCAGCAGGTTTACGTAACTAATCATGGAGCATATCTCCGGCAGGTTTACCTAGCTAATCATAGAGCCTATCTCAGCAGGTTTACCTAATTAATCATGGAGTCTATCTCCGGGAGGTTTACCAACTAATAATGAAACCTGTCTCTGGTAGGTTACCTAAGTGATCTGGAACACTGTCCCCGGCATTATATCCTGAGGATGACATTAAAACCATAGAAGGACATTTACCCTCAGGAGGACATTATATCATCAGGAGGAAATCATACGCTTAAGAGAATATTATACCATCAAGAGAACATTATACCCTCAGGATAACATTATACCCTTAGGAGGACATTATACCATCAGGAGGACATCCTACACTCAAGAAAATAGTATACCATCAAGGGAACATTATAGCCTCACGATAGCATTATATATACCCTTAGGAGGACATAATACTCTCAGGTGGACATTATTCCCCCGGGCCCCACATCACCAAAATGCCTTGGATGGACCAGTAGTGAAAGGAATGGTAAGAAACATTGCCCTTAAAATAAAATAAATGTTTAAAAGTAAAATGAAATTGTGATAGAGCAATTGACCGCACTGTCCAAGAAGAACCAATGAACCCCTTACGGAGTGACAAGAACATTTGAAACACACTAACAGGTCCAGCCGCAGACAAGGAAACAGATATAATTACGAC